GTACATGTTCGTTGAACATGACATTGGTTTTATCCAAGTCCATCCGTAGGCCGATGCGTACAGAAGTGTCAGCTAGGTCATTCAGCATTTACTGTAGGTCTTGCAACGTCTCTCTGATGTATTCGCCATTGATATTGATGCCACGCCCTTTCCAGTGCAGCGTCTTGAACATGTCCTAAATTCCATTTGTGAACAATTTCGGGGAAATAACGTTCCCTTGTCTCACTCCTCGATGCAATGGTACGGGCCTTATTTGCTGATTCTGTACTTGGACGGACATGGTGGCGACTTCGTAGAGATCTCATCACTTGGATGTATCGCCAATCTACTTGGCAACGCTGCAGTGACTCCAGAACAGACCAGATCTCGATCGAGTCAAAGGCTTTCTCATAGTCCACGAATGCTAGACACAGGGGCTGATTATATTCTTCGGTCTTCTGTATAAACTGCCGCACTGTGTGGATGTGGTCTATGGTGCCATATCCGCTCCGAAACCCAGCTTGCTCCGGTGGTTGGAATTCGTCGAGTCTTTGCGCAAGACGGTTCGTGATGACTCTCGAAAACAGCTTGTAGACGTGGCTTTGAAGGGATACGGGTCGATAGTTCTTCAACCTGGTCTTGTCACCCTTTTTGAAGAACAAGAGGACCACATTCCTACTCCACGCTTCCGGAGTTCTCCCTTCAAACAGGACAGCGTTGAAAAGCTTTTGGAGCTCCCTTAGTACGGGTTTACCCCGGCCTTTAGCAGCTCTGTTGTAACGCCATCCTCTCCAGGGGTTTTTCCATTTTTCAGCTGTCCAATAGCCATCTCGATTTCGTCAATGCTAACTTCTGGCAGGTGTTCGGTGTAGTGACGTGTTAGTGTGGCTCTAGAGTCCTCATTTTCGGGATCAGGTCGAGATGCATGCGAACCGTATAACCGGCCATAGAAGCTTTCCACTTCCAAAAGGACTGCCGGCTTCGAAGCAACGACTTCTCCACTTTCTGTAGTCAACTTTGTCAGGTGGCTTCTTCCAATAGATTGTACGAACCCCCGATTTTGCTCGATCGCTCTGTCAATTGAAAGAGTATTGGAGCACCGGAGGTCGTGTCGTACGAGTTTACTGATCTCTCGGTTTAGAGTCCGCTTTGCCGACAAAGTGACAGGTAGATTTTCACGTCGTTGCTTCATCAGCCCTAGGGTGGGTACATTCTGAAAGCTTAGATTTCCTGCCCTTACGCTGCATTTCACAAAATCTCGTATCTTCTGCATTGAGGATCCGAACCACATTTTCGAGGTTCTGGTTTACGTCAATTGTGGTTTCCACGGCAGCGAATCGGTTTTCCAGTTTTGACTGGAACGTTTCAGATCCTGTCATGGTCGGAGCCTGGATTTCATCAAACAGACACGTTCCGCCTTAAAGTTGATATTCAGAGAGCCCCGGACAAGTCGGTGATCACTACCGGTATTAAACCTATTGATCACTGAGACGTCTCTGAATATGTGCTTTCTATCCGTCATGATGAAATCGATCTCATTTCTGGTCATAGCGTCGGGGCTTTGCCACGTCCACTTCCTTTGGGGCTGTTTCTTGAAGAAAGAGTTCATCAAAAAGAGCCCCTCCCGTTCGAAGAAGTTGACCAGCATTTGCCCCCTATGATTCCTGCTTCCAAATCCATAGGATCCTACTACCGATTCGCCGCGATTCTGTACTCCCACTTTAGCTTTGAAGTCACCCATAACAACATTGTAGTGGGTCTTAGTTGTGAAATGGAGGGCCCTCGATATGTCATCGTACATATCCTCCACCTCGTCGTGCGAGTGTGCCGAGGTCGGTGCGTACACTTGCACAACGGATGGCCCTGAGCAACGGAACTCTAACGGAACGGGCCATTAGCCACGCCAAAGAAGAGAAAAGAAAGGAGATGCTGGAGGGTCTCGATCGTGACCCCTGGGGTCGCCCTTATCGCGCGGTGCGACAAAAGCTCTTGCCCCCCCCCCCTCCCTTACGGAGACTCTTCAGCCCAGCTTCCTGCAGGAAGTGGTAGAGGGCCTATTCCGGGCGGAGCACATAGCCCCGTCAATGGCCTCCTTGGCCGGAAACGACAGGGAGAACGGGGATGATGTTCTGCCCGTCCGGGATTCGGAGGTAGGATCCGTTCCAAGAATACCGCCCCTGAGCCAAACGGAATACCGGACCGAGTGCTGGCCCTAGCCCTCAAACACATGAGAGACCGCCTCGGGGAGGTTTTCGACACCAGCTTGGCGTCAGGACGTTTCCCTGAGTGCTGGAAAAGCGGGAAGCTGGTCCTATTGAGGAAGCCGGGACGGCTTGCCGATTCGGTCGCGGCCTACAGGCCTGTCGTGTTGCTGGACTAGGCGGGTAAATTGTTTGAGAGGGTTCTCTCTGCCCGCATCGTCCGGCACCTCCGCGAGGTGGGCCCCGATCTGTCGGACGCCCAATTTGGTTTTCGAGCGGGGCGTTCTGGTTTACGTCACTTGAGAGCCGTGACCGAAGAGGCGGTGAGCTGTGGCGGCGTGCTGTTGGCGGTGTCATTGGACATCGCCAACGCATTCAATAGTCTGCCATTCAGATGCATTAGGGAAGCCCTCAACTATCATGGGGTGCCGGAGTACCTGAGGCGGCTGGTGGCAGATTATTTAGAGGAGCGTACCGTCGTGGACGAGGACCGAGATGGTAATTTGAAGTGTCGGCCCATGTCGTGCGATGTTCCGCAAGGTCTGTTCTTGGACCCCTCCTATGGAACAAAGGGTACGACTGGGCCCTTCGAGCCGATTTTCGACCCGGCTGGGTGTAATTTGTTACGCCGATGATAAATTGGTCACAGCCCGGGGAGTGAACTTCCAAGAGTCGGCATGTCTGGCTACCAGGGGAGTCTCTCTAGTGGTCGAGCGCATTGAGGCGCTGGGTTTACGGGTGGCCCTGGACAAGTCCGAGGCCCTCTTATTTGATGGGCCTCGTCGTGGTCCTCCCCCTGGCGCCTCAATCGTCGTCAACTCGGTTCTCGTACCGGTTCAGGCCCAAATGAAGTATCTGGGCCCGATCCTCGACGGGAGGTGGCTCTTCGACGAGCACTTTCGACAGCTTGCTCCAAAGCTGGTCGGCGCTGCCCTTTTGGCGACTTTTGCCAAATCTGGGTGGACCTAGCGTCGCAACGAGACGGCTGTACACGGGGGTTGTCCGGTCAATGGCACTGTACGGCGCACCGGTGTGGGCACCGGCTCTGACCAGCCAAAATAGAGAACGCCTTTGGCGTCCTCAGAGGGTATTGGCGGTTAGAGCCATACGTGGTTACCGCACCGTGTCGACGGAGGCAGCGTGCGCGTTTGCCGGAACTCCTCCGTGGGATTTGGAGGCGGAAGTGCTCGCCGAAGTACATCGGCGGACGACTGAGTTCCGGGCGGTTAGCGGCAGTCGGCCCCCGCTCGAAGAAGTACGCGAGTGGCGCAAAGCCGCTCGTCGAGCCACGATGGCTCGCTGAGCTGGCTGCTGGTATTGCCGCCGTGGAGGCGCTCCAGCCGGTCATCGTTGAATGGGCAGGGCGGCAGCGGGACCCTTTTCTTCCGACTAACGCAGGTCCTTTCCGGGCACGGCTGCTTCGGGAAGTACCTGCGGTCGGTCACTAGGAGGAAACTGAGTCCTGCCTGTCACCACTGCGATTGTAGTGAGGACTCGGCTCAGCACACGCTGGCAATTTGCCCGGCTTGGACGTCGCAGCGTCGGGTAATCACTGCAGTCATCGGGGAAGATCTCTCACTACCGGCCGTCATAAGCTCCATGGCCGGTAGTGATGGTTGTTTTACCGCGGTCGCATCCTTCTGCGAAGACGTTATCTCGCAGAAGGAGGCGGCGGAGAGGTCCCGGGAGGATAATCTCCACTCGGACCCAATTCGTCGCCGACGAACCGGGCGGCGGAGGCGCGCTTACCTGAGTGTGGCCACGGGTGGACGGGACGGGTTTTCTCCTCCACCCGTCAAAACAGCCAGCCGCAAGGAGGCGACGTCCGCGTGTGCCGGACGTCTCCTAAATAGAGAATATACCCGAAGGTGGTGCCAGCGCCGTTGCGGGCAGGCCTTCGAAGGGGTCCGGATGTCTTAATAACAGCAGTTTCCGGATCCCTCCTATCACAGGCGCAGAGTGGCACACCGTGTGGTTTTAGTCGGTCCGATTCCGACACACCACCCCGCCGTAATTGGTATTGATATTGGTAGTGGGCTTCGGTTTCCGCATTTAGACTCAGAGCGGTCCTTTATGCGTCGAGGATTGGTTGACCAGGTGAGCCAGCCAAGCTCCTTCCAGAAGCGCAGAAGCCTCCTGGGGCGTTCACAGGCTTCTAGGAGCGACTTTATATCTTGCCCGTTGTGTGGCCACTCCCTCGCATTCCAGGATTACGTGGACGGCCGTTTCTTCTGCTTCCAGACATCCCCTGCACAGGGGACTGTCGTGTGAGAACTGGAACGTTACTTATCTGTGGCACTGTGTGCCAAAAGATAGATAATCTGTGTTCCACGCCGGAAGTCCATTGAATTTACGTGTGCTGTTATACATAGTAATTAAAACCTATATAGTATTTAATATAATATACTGAGTTTTATTAATATATAATATTGGCGACGAGGATCAACCATTATATAGTGAAAAATTAACAGGACTATCAAAAAAGAAAAATATTGTAAAATAAAAGTGCCGGCCGGCGTGACGCCATCTTTTCATAAATTGATTGCAATGCACATTGCAATAAAATCTGATGTCAGCTTCAGAACCAACTGAAAGTTTGGATAAAAAAGGTCAAAAAGATAGACTACAATTAGTAAGGGAAGGAAAGAGAACTTTCATTTACGTAACGAACGTTCAAAAAGTGAATTACTACAATTACTGCAAGAAGAAAATATCTCATTTATCAGTGACAGTGTAAAGAATTTGCGAAAAACATTGAGCGAACATTATAAAAGTAAGGAGAATTTAGTAGAAAAGAAACCAGAGAAACAAAAAACAAAGATGTTCATGTGCGGCGACCTGAAAGTTTTCGACGGAGATAAATGGGAAGTTTTCAAAGAACAACTCGAATGTTTCATTCTTGTTAATGACATCAGCGATGACAAGAAGGTGCCATTGTTATTAACCAAAATATCACCATCAGTATTCGAAACTTTAAACTACCTATGCTCACCACACAAACTCAGTAAATTATCGTTTGATGAACTTAGCAGCAAACTTGGAGATAAGTATGCCAAACCATTGTCCACAGCTTTGGAGAGGGCAGCTTTCAGGAAAAGAAACCAGCTTCATAATGAAAACATTGAGGATTATGTTTTAGCTTTGAGAAAATTAGCTATGGCCTGCCAGTTTAAAGATAAGGAAGACCAAATTAAAGAGAAATTTATGGAAGGAGTATCGTCTAAGGTTGTCAAATTTGAATTGATGAAAACTGAGACGGAGCTGTCACTAGAAAAATGTATTTCACTGGCACGCACAGTAGAAGCAGCAGTATTACAGACAAATAATAACCATGAAATAACAGAAGTCTACTATAGTAACAAAGGAAAACCAAAACAGGATACTAAGAACAAGAATAACAACAGTGGACAGTGTTTTTGCTGCGGGAAGAAGAATCATATCAAAGCAGACTGTACTCTGAAGTTAAAATACTGTTCAGAATGTGGTCAACAAGGCCATATATTCAGGATGTGTCCGAAAAAGCAACGACAAGCGAATGTAGTGGAGACGAACCCCGGGAATGTTAAAGAGGAGGAAAAGCAGGTGGAAGTACCCAGTAAAGATGTAGATAAAGAATATATTAAGACTTATGATATTAATAGTGTAAGTAAAATACCTCCTTTTTATCTAGAAATAAAGGTCAACGGTCAAGACATTTCTTTTCAGTTAGATACGGGGTCAGATGTAACAGTGATGTCAATCAAAGATAAATCAATGTTTTTAAGAGAATTTCAGCTCAAGAAAAGCAACATACTTTTTAAGAATTTTGACCAAAATATTTCCCGTCCATTAGGTATTATAACAGATGTACCAATTAAATTTAAAGGAATTAACAAAAATTTAAACATTTTCATTTTACCAGACAATTTACCTAGAGTCATAGGGCGAGATTGGTTACATGAGTTTAAATTATGGCCTCCAAATATTCAGAATAGTCTGAATATTGGTATTTATATGATACAAACTGTTGCAGATGCACAGCAACATCTGAAAACCCAGTTCGCAGAAGTATTCAGCCCGGGATGGGGAAATTTTAAAGGTGATGTCATTTCATTTAAGCTACAACAGGACCAAAGTGCTTGCCAGTCCGGCGAATACCATTTGCCCTTAGAGAAAAGGTAAATAATGAAATTATTAGATTAATTGAAAATTGCAGAATTACTCCAGTAGAACAAAATGAATGGGGTACACCAATTGTGCCAATTTTAAAACCAGATGGATCAGTTAGACTTTGTGGTGACTATAAATTAACTATTAATCCTCACTTGGTTTTTGATCATTTTCATCTTCCCCATATTAAAGATATTATGGATGTTTTAAAAGGGGGAGAATACTACTGCGAGCTGGATTTAAAAGAAGCTTATTTACAAGCACCACTAAGTGTAGAAAGTAAGGGCTGTACCACTATAGTTACTGAGTTAGGCACTTTCCAATATAATTTTCTACCTTTTGTGTAAGTACAGGGCCAGGTTCATTCCAACGGTTAATGTCCAAAAAATTAGCAAACATTCCCAATACCATTGTATTCATTGACAATATTTACATTAAAGGAAACACCTTGCAAGATACTTATGAAACAGTATGTCAGGTTTTAAAAAGATTAAAAGAAAGTGAATTTAAATTAAAATCTAAGAAATGTAAATTCTTTACTACTTATTTAGATGTCTTTGGTTATCGCATAGACAAAAAGGGAATTAGTATTATTAAATCCAACATAGAACCATTATTAACTGCAGAGACACCAACCAATTTAACATTATTAAAATCATTCTTGGGAAAAATTAATTATTACTCTATATTTTTGAAGGATATGGCAACCACTATTTCCCCTTTATATGAATGTACAAAAAAGAACAGGTTTAATTGGACCTCAGAGTGTGAGGAATCTTTTAAGGCAAAAAAAAACAAATTAGCTTCAACAAATATTTTAAGACATTACGATCCTCAATTACCTATAATTTTAACATGTGACGCTTCAGAAACTGGGCTGGGAGTAGTATTATCAAACAGAGATAGAGATGGTACAGTTAAACCTATTTCATATGCAAGCAAAAAATTAAATTCGGTAGAACAAAAATACTGTACTAAAGATAAAGAAGCTATGGCAATTGTGTATGGTGTAACAAAGTTTTATAATTATCTCTATGGACAACCATTTGAATTGGAGACCGACAATGCAGCCTTAGTACGAATTTTTGGACCTACAAAAAGTATTCCTAGAATGGCTGCCAAAAGACTGCAACACTACGCCATCTTTCTATCAGCTTTTAATTATAAAGTACGACATATCAAATCAACACTGAACCCGGCAGACTTTTTGTCAAGAACTGTCACTGTAGGTAATTCAGAAAATGAAGAAGTTAATATCTATTTATTAGGCTCTGATGATTATGGGTTTTGCTATGTAAACGAATCAGAAATGGAAACATTAAATTGGAAACTAATTCAAGATAATTCAAAAAGGGATACTATTTACTCCAAGGTTATAAGATATCTGACTGACGGGTGGCCCGAGAAAAAAGAAATTGATAAAGATATTCTGCCATTTTACCATAGAAAAGAGGAATTATCACTAGATAAAGGTTGCATATTTTGGGGATATCGTATATTAATTCCTCGGGCCATTCGGGAGGCAGTATTAGCCGAATTACATAAAAGTCATTTTGGTATTATCCGAATGAAAGAAATAGCTAGGTCATATTTTTGGTGGCCTAATTTAGATTCTATGATTGATGGTATTACCAAAAATTGATTATTTTGTTTACAAAATAGTAAAAGCCCTTGTAAAATTCAGAAGCCATGGCCGGTACCACCTTCAACATGGTATAGAATTCATGCGAATTTCATGGGCCCCTTTTATAATAAAATGTTCATGGTAGTGGTAGATAGCTATTCTAAATGGCCAGAAATATTTGAAATGGGAAACATTACTAGTAAACGCACTATAGAAATATTAAAAGGCTTATTTGCTCGCTATGGCTGTCCTATACATTTAGTTACAGATAATGGAAGGTCTTACACAAGCACTGAGTTCCAAGAATTCTGTAAACAAATTCAAGTAAAGCATACATTTTCCCCACCTTACCACCCTGCTACAAATGGTGCAGCTGAGAGATTTGTGGAAACATTTAAATCCGCTGTAACAAAGATAAAAGAAAGTGGACTAGATCTTTATTCAGCAATTAATTTGTTCTTATCTGATTATAGAAGTACTCCACAACGTACCACTGGAGTGTCCCCGGCTAGATTAATGTTGGGTAGAGAAATCAGAAATAGATTTAGTTTGTTGAGGCCACCACCTTTGGTAGAGACTGTGCAAGAAAGAGTGGAGGGGAGAGAGCAGGGAAATAGAAATGTAAAATTTAAAGTTGGACAAAAAGTAATGGTGCGGGATTACAGGAAAGGTGGTAAGCCATGGGTTCTGGGTTTAATAATTGAGGAATCAATACCTGATGTTACCTATGTAATAGATGTTGAAGGTTGTAAATGGAAACGCCATGTGAACCAAATGTTACAGTGTGCGGAAACATTAAGTGAAAGTAAAATGAGCAAAAAATCTGATCTGAACTGGCTTTCATCATCTACTAATAACATTTAAAACCACTTTATATATTAACAATTAAGATATGTACATTATTTAAGTGTTATTAAAATATAATGTATAATATTAATAGGATAAGCTACCTAACCTGAGTGTATGCATACTGTTATGTGCGGGAGAGTGTGAGAACTGGAACGTTACTTATCTGTGGCACTGTGTGCCAAAAGATAGATAATCTGTGTTCCACGCCGGAAGTCCATTGAATTTACGTGTGCTGTTATACATAGTAATTAAAACCTATATAGTATTTAATATAATATACTGAGTTTTATTAATATATAATACGTCGCATTGATGATGAATAGTTGTCGGTTCAGGGCTAGATGTCCTGTAATAGTTCCGACAACCATTCTGATTTCCAGTCTGCTAAGACTGATCAATCTGCAGGTGAGTCGTGGTGTGACTTGATTCAGCACCAGTTTGGACTGTCTGCAGCCGGGTGAGTTTTTCCACCTCCGGTTGTGTGCTTCACAGGTCCGTTGCCTGACCAAGCATCGTATTTGGTTAAACGATATGGGCAGGAGTGTGGTTGGGCCGGAAGTCGGGGTTGCCGAGCCCCTCCTTGCCAACTCATCTGCGGCATCGTTCCCGTGTGAGTTACTGTGCCCTTTAATCCATTGGAGGAGTACCCCATTGAATGTAGCGAGCTGTTCCAGTGCTTGATGGCATTTGAAGACAATACCAGAGGTAATTGTGTTGCCCTCTAGTGCCTTTAAGACGGCCATGCTGTCGGATATTATGCGGATGTTGTAGTCCTTGATACCACTTGAAATGGCCGTTGTGGCAGCGTAAGTTATTGCCACACATTCACATTGAAATATGGAACTGTGTTGGCCTAACGCTAGTGATATGTTCATATTTAGGTCTTGCGAGAAAACCGGCTCCAGTTCCTGACCTAGTCTTGGAACCGTCCGTGTAAATTCGGACTTCGTTAATGCCGGATTGATCTCGGTCATTTCCATGTATCTGGATGTAGTATCTTCTTGTGAAGATATGGTGTTTTGGGATTCTATCGCATGGGAGCTGCTGGAATTGCTGCAGTTTGTTTATGACGGTGCTGTTGATAGGTCAGCCGTAAATATTATGCAGTGGACTGTATAACAACTGGTATATTGTGGCTAACAAAATAAATACATAAAATTTCGGAACGACAATAGAAATATGCACTGGGGTGCTATGTAACGTGTTTGGTAGCGTAGTGCCGACGCACTGGCAAGGGCCGATCTCCCACGCACCCGACGGCCAGCTGCCGATGCGTGACGAAGTTGCCCGAACATCCTCCCCGGGTTGAAGTATTCAAAGTAGTTGCGGGCAGCCAGTATTATATGTCCGGAGTAGAATCCCCTTCCTGGTCTTCAGCTCGACCGCGCGTGCAGCTGCATCGGTGCCCGGAAAAACCTTAGTCACCCGTCCCAGTGGCCACACTAGTGGTGGCTGTCCTCGCTCCTTTACAAGTATACCCACTGATAACTGCCCTGTTGAGGTGGTCCAATTGGTTTTTTGCTGCAGCAGAGAAACATATTCTAAATAAAATCGTTTCCAGAAATGTTGACGAATGTGCTCCATTCTATGGTAGCGATCCAGCCGCTCAATGATGCTGTCAGTCACCTGTGGATGCGGAACGGACGTGAGTGGCCTGCGAATCAAGAAATGTGAAGGAGTAAGGGTTGTAAGGTCTAATGGGTCAGAGGATAGAGGAGTTAGAGGACGAGAATTTAACACAGCTTCTATTTGAGCCAAACAGGTAACCATCCTGGTACATGTCCGTGTAGTGACGGATTAAGAATACGGAATGTCACTACCCCAATTCATCCCGTGGGTGTCGTAAGAGCCGACTAAGGGCGCAAAACAACGCAGGACACCAGCACTGCAAAAAGACGGAAAACTTGACACAAACCCTATACCAACCCGCCTGGCCAGCGTGGTATAGTAGGTCAAAACCTTCTTTTTAAGGAGAGGCCTATGTCCAGCAGTGGACTATTAAAGGCTGTTGATGTGATGTGATGATAATGTGAGGTAACCATCTCCTCGTAGGTGAAGTGCGTTAAGCCTAAGAGTCTCCGTAAGTAGTGTTTGGTGGAACGAACAGCAGCTTCATTGATACCATTAAAATGGGGAGAGTAGGGAGGTGCAAAAGAAAACTCGATGCCGTGCTGACCGACTGCAAAGTCTAGATTAGACTCCTGTAAGAATTTTTGCAGTTCATTAGATGTGCCTACGAAATTCGTGCCATTGTCTGACAAAATGGTTTTGGGCTTGCCACGACGAGCCACAAAATGGTTGAAGGCGGCCATATACGCTTCTTTGGTTAGGTTTGTGACGAGCTCAATGTGCACAGCCTTAACAGCAAGGCATACAAATATGCATAGATAGACCTTCATAAGCTTACACCCTCGGCCCCTTCGATCGGATATCAATACTGGCCCAGCATAGTCAATACTGCAATTGTTAAATGGAAATTCCAAGTGTGTCCTAGAAGAGGGCAGTTGGCCCATTATGGGTTGAATGGTTTCACACTTGTGTTTAAAACATTTTATGCATTTTTTAATAATAATTTTCGCGAGATTCCTGCCACAAAGAGGCCAGTACATTTGTCTTATATTCGCTAATAACAGCTGAGGGCCAGCGTGTAATAAATTAGTGTGATATTTATTAAATATAATTTTTGTAACATGGTGTTTACCACGACTTAATAAAGGATGTTTGACATTGTAGTCATAGGGAGAGTTGTCAAGCCTCCCCCCCACACGAAAGAGGCCATCCTCGTCTAGGAAAGGACTCAAAGAAATCTACTTTTTCGAGGCAACGACTTCCCTGATTGAAGAATACTATACTCTTTGGGGAACATATCACTTTGAGCATGACGTATAATAAAATTAAAGGAAATATTAAGTTCTTTACTCGAAAGGGAACCAACTTGCTTGTTGTTTTTATTTCTTAAAATGCTAAAATATCTGAACCAGTAATCTCTGTAATTTGTAAAAATCGGAAAATAATTTTATTAATGAAATACCAAATGGCTGATTATGTGATGTTAAATTATGATTATGGTATATTTGATTTTGAATTAATGAATGACTATCAATGAAATGAGATGATGCGATTTCAGTTAGATCCTGTTTCATGTTTTCATTGGGCTTTTTTGGCAAGTATTTTTCATCTATTGACAAAAAATTAGGTCCTGACCACCATAAAGAACACTCGCTGATAAGGTCAGCTTGCAGCCCACGAGAAACAAGATCCGCCGGATTATCCCTAGACGGCACGTAGTTTCATGTGTAACCCGCAGTGCTCTTTTGAATTTCATAGACGCGATTACGCACAAAAGGCTTAAGTAAATTTGGTGACATTGATAACCAACTCAACACTATTGTTGAATCGCACCAAAATCGGCATGTATTAATAGGTAAAGTAAGACTACCTCAGTACACAGTCTTGCTCCTAGCAGAGCTCCGCATAATTCGAGCTTTGGAATAGTAGTCGGTTTAATAGGTGCAACTCGATTCTTAGAGACTAATAGATGTACTCTACTTGACCCCTGTACGTTCACGGATCGAACATATGTATACCGCATCGCACCGTACGCTCTCTCCGATGCATCCGTAAAAATGTGAAGTTCGTGTGCTATCGAGTTTTGGGACTAATCCCGCCCACACGCCCACCACTGTAACTCCTGTACACCAGGATCCACAGCAGTGACCCACGAACACACCGAGTTATGACACTCGGGAAGTCCCAGGAAGAAATTAAACTGTCTTGGAACCCGCAACGAAATTAATCAGAAGAAAATTGGAGGAGTTGGAAATACAGTAAATCCACTTCCCTCCTTAGCAAAGCGGGAGACAAAATGAAGTGAAATGGGCATACACCCTTTTAAACAAGGAAGCACCACGGCCACGAAATATTACGGGTCCTACGTGAGCTATATTTGATTTCTATAATATGTATGGCAGAATCGCCTAAACGCACGGAAATTCACCCTAGTTGACACAAGATCCCCATAGTATACCTCCCCAGATGTCATCTGCAAGGTATTCAGCATTATATTACGTTCATTTTACCAAAGACTACATTCCCAGAGGATATGATGAGCAGACTGTTCATAGTGAGAGTTAAGTGTTGAGCATTGACACAATGGTGACTCGACTAAT